TAAATTAGCTGAATATATTCATTATTAAGTGTTAAAATGCTACTGCCTGGTGGCCCTATAGTTGAACATCTTCAAAACATCCCATGAGAAACTGTGCCAGAGATTTAGACTAAATTAATTTGAAGCCCATTTTATTTGTGATTGAAATGTATTTTGCAAATAAGTCTCTGTGTGTTCGTGTTTCTTTTCTGGCCAGCCAGAAAAAACACAAATAGATGTGATAATGTGTCTGAAATGGCATTCATCTTCATGAAATAAAGCTTTACCTTGTAAAAATGAATTGCTAAGGATGTGTTGTTTCAGTGCTGTGAGGTGAGAGAGACGAATCCAGAAGTTGCTTCAGACTCCTCGTAGTCACCTCATACATGTAGGACCAAGAATGCAGGAACATTAATTTTGACAGCAACGTGAAATTTGGGGTCTTACTTTTGCTGTGGAACAGGTTGTCTCCCTTCACCTTCGCCGTAAAAGATGTCTGCAGTTTGTTAGCTTTCTCGTATTTTTGTGGTAGACTGCTCTGGGGTAGCAGCCTGCTCTTAGGGGTCCTTTTTTTATTCTCTACAGCTCTCAGGAGCAAGCCCTAATCAAGATTTTTCATTCCTCTGTATCAAAATTTCCTGATTTAAGGAGTGTTACATAGGAATGGGAGAGCTGGGAAACTCAAATCATCCATCTTACTGCATTGTATCATAAAAATAATCTGTAGCTGATGCTTTCTTTCCAAATGCTGAGTGTTTGCAGAGCATATGCACAAAGAGGAAGGCGAGTGGGATGAAAAGGCCAGCTCCTTCCCTTCCCCAGAGAGGTTGCACACAGGGCACGGCATGTCCTTTTGGCCTTCGGACCTGCTAGCAGGCAGCTGATTCTCCTCAGCTCTGCCAACCTCTGGGTTTTAAAGCGTGATGTGGTTTTTTTGCGGGTGGATGTCCAGAATGAGACCACCTCAAAATAAACAAAAAATAGGCTTGAAGATGGTGCCCCTACATGCCTGTCTGTGTGTTGTTTGATCTAGGAAAGAGAGCCTCTGGGTGGGGAAACTGTAATTTCCTACATATGTAAAATGTTTAAACACTTTTTTTTTTTTTTAAAGTCTGCCATCTTAATTAAATATCTGATTTTGAAATCCATATTCAGGCAGCTTTCCTGATTGCATCCAGCAGACTGCAGTTCCCATTCACAAAGCCCCTTGTTTTTTTCTAGCTTTCCTTGGATTTATTTGCAGGACAGTGTTTTGTTTTCTCTGTAAGCCATTTGGAATACATCTTCACAAGCACTGTACCCGGAGGGTTTGTATGTCATTCAAAAATAAAAATAAAAAATCTCCACCTACTGAAAAGTGAACAGCATAGCCCTAGCAACCGGCTGGTGTGTTCAAACCAGAGGAAGGGACATTAAACAAGTAAGACCAAATGATGTCTTCTCTGTAACGGCCAGGGTTGCAGTAGAAATGCCAGCTAGTGATAAGATTAATTGTAACTGATAGTGGATATAGCTGCCTTTGTATTTTCTTTTTATTTTTTTAATGGTGGATTGTAAATACAGCCTTGATGAAGCGATGCTTGTTCTTGTCGGCATAAGCAAGGTTTTCAGCTGGAAGCTCTAAAAGGGGGATCTGCCTCTGTAAAAACACCCCCCCTCGCCCCATCTTGCACTGATTGTGCACACAGGAAGGTAAGTGTCGTCGTTTTCTTGGAAAGCAAGAGAAAACTTATTTTAAATGGTCCATCAGACAGGGCACTGTCAGCACTTTCCTCCCAGGTGTGTTCTCGATGGCATTATGCCACGGCTGGATTTTGTGTGTCTGCCTCTCTGTCTCCTGTGTGCATCTTGGTTTCTCATTCATCTGCTGTGTCGTAGATCCATCTGTGTTAAAATGATGATTTTTCCTTCCCCCCCCCCTCCCCTTTCCGCTTTTGTGGATGAAAGGAATTTAAACTGCTTGACATCATCTGAAATATTAGCTATTCCTTATTTTCCTAAGGAGCTCCATTGCGCTTCTCCAAGATGGATTTTTGTTTGTGTTATTTGACTGCATGGTTTTCCTTAGCCACTGCCAATAAAAAATGCAAAGCCTTGAGTTTTCTCTTACGTTTTACTTCTATTAGACCAAAGCCATAAAAAGCAAAGGGTAAAGAAAGGAACGTAGATATTGGGAAAGCTCTGCTGTGTTAGTGGTCAGCTGAGGCTCCTCTCGAAGTTTGTGAAGTCAGAGGCAGTTTTGGTGCCCTTCAGTAGGCACAGGGATTAATCTGCTGGTGTTTCAGTATTGTCCTCTTTCCTATAATCCACAAAGGGCTGCTGATTTATGACTTCTGTCTAATAATTGCATTTCTTTGACTCCCTCTGCACCTCCCCTTTCCACCCTCTTCCTCCTGCAGTTTGTTGTCTTTTCTTGTTTCATGCAGTTTAGTTCTTTGGTCTGCTGGTGTATGAGGTCTTTGATTTCCCCCCTGCCCATCCGTTCCCCATGTGCCAGTGGTAGTGTGCAAAGAATAAAAGCGATTCTATGCCCTTACCAGAGAAGGATGCCTCCAACATTATTTTTCTATTGCAGTGGTTTTACTTCCTGACTGCTAGATGTGCTGCACTATGCTGGGAAGGTGGCCAGAGCAGGATGTGCCGTTCCAGGCTAGTTTTCAATGACTGCTTTTAGGACCAAATAACCAGGGAAATGGGATTTTGTTGCGTCATCTCCAGCTGTTCGGCTTGGGAGCTTTTTGTTCTTTTTCATTTCACCTCTTCAAGTTTCTCAGCTGTAGGCTTGGTCAGGATGCTAACAGATGCTCCATGGGTGGTGGAAGGGTTGTCGGAGATCAGTGTGTTTGCGTGATCTTGCTTCACTAAATTTTGTCTTAAAATTTCTTACTGCTGCTTTCAGCAGCACGGCTCCTTTTGCAGTAGCAGTGGAGGAGGCACTGTGCAGACTGGCATGTCTCTTTCCTTGGAGGTAGGACGAGGTAACAGTGGGGTAGATGCTGGAGGTCTCTTGGATGCTATTTGGTACCACCCATCTGCCACTGCAGCTCTCATCAGTAGAGCTGTCTTAGGGATTTTTTACAACCATGGACAAAAACCTTGTTTAGGAAAAGCAAGGAGGGCTTTATTTGGAAACATGAGGGGTGGTTGTGCCTGGATGAAGCACAAGAATGGTGATTTTTCTGTGCCTATGAGCCACGGCTTTATTATGCAAGTGTGACTTAGCAGTTCCTTGCCCCCAGTTAATGTCTTTCCTAGACAGAAGGTGAGAAACAAGGGGTGCACCGTGAACAAACGTGATTCGGGAGCGCTCTGTTCCTTAGCTCATTTTTAGCCTGCAGTAGGCTTTTCCTAGGCAGCCTCCTCAGTACTGTATTTAATGCTTGATTGTGAGGTGCACTGAGCTTACTGATGGCTGAGGTGGGAAGGCACCACTGGAGATCTTCAGCCCACCCTCTGCCCCAAGCAGGGATGCCCAGGGCAGGCTGTGCTACGCAGGGTCCAGTTGGGCTGCGAGTAGCTCCAAGGTCTTCAGTTACGATGCTACTGCCTTTTTTTAAGATTTGCAACACCTTAACTTGCAGGTATTTTCACTTTTTTAAAGTTCTCTTGGCTTTTCTGACTTTGGCAACTAAATAATAAAGCAAGGCATTTGCCAAAAGCACAGTAGTCTTTGTGTTGTGCTTCAGAAGTTACCTTAGGATTTGGGCCTACTTCATGTAATAAAAGTTTTGGTATGGAAGACGGAATGTTTGTTGGCATTTTAAGGATAGCATTTCAGCAAAGCTAGCTGGCAGCTAGAGCTGCCAATAAGAGCTACTTCCCAGATGGGTCAAACCAATAAGGTGACTCGTAGGAGGGAAAATTCAGTTTATAACATCAATTTTTGGTTTGGTTTTTAGGAGACTCTTTTCCAGGACTTATGCCAGAGATACTGTGAACAACCTTCTTAATTGCTTATGTTGGGGCAAATGTCAGCAGCACTGTGGCCTAATACAAAAACCAAATGGCAGGGTATGCAAAAGGTTAAAGCGAGTTTTCCTTCCTGGTGTTTGTTTAGCTTTGTTCCCTAACTGTATTTATAGCAGAAGTAGTCTCACATGTCCTAGATTAAAGCCACGGCAGTCTGGGCTATTTCGGTGGCTTGTGTGTCCCTTGTGCTGGGGTCGAGGGATTTGGGTACGCCTCTGACTTCTGCAGCTCCACTTCAGCAAAGTACCTAAGTACGTGCTTAACTTGTAGCCCATCGGGATTTTAGGCCTACTAGCTCATCTGCCCAGGCAGCACGTCGGGCAGGTTCACTTTTCCAGACTCTGCTGGAAATAATCCTCTGGGGACTTCTGCCTTTCAGAAGTTTGAGGGTAAGATCAGATTGCATTGTGACAGCATGAATCTCCACTAAGATGAGAGCAATGTCTTCGGGAGGGGTAGTCTGTGCGTGCACACTATGTCCAGTGAGTCATGGGCATTTGAGATATCCTGCCTGTAGGCAAATAGTTGCATGCCCAGGACTTGCGGATTGTCAGACATGCAGAAATCTTGGGCAAATGGTCAGACTCCTCTTTTTTTATACCAGCAATTTCTTGGGGAGAAAAAATACAGCTGATAGACAATGTGGTTTATTGCTGAGCTGCAGCTTCCTTTTAGCGATAGAAGGCCTGTGTCTTCGGTGCAAACTTCCCTGAAGTGCAATGTGGGATTTCTGAGGTGCTGTATGGGGTGCCCCTTCAGTGGCCTGGACCTGCAGGCAGAACCTTGCAGGCTGACCAACAGTAGGAACTGGATCATCAAGTTGGTGCTTTGATTCTTTGATGCCATTTCATGCCTGGTGATGAACACCTCCAAGTCTTGTTGTGGTCAGCAAATGGCCCCAGTCTTCCTGCTGGTCTGGCAATGGTGGTGTCTGAATTCAGAAAACATGCAGTGAAATGAAATTCTCTTTTGCAGATTGAATTGCAGACTTGAGGCTCTGGATCCAACTCACACTGTCGGTGTTTTATTGTTTCTTATAGTGTAGCTGGTGATTGTCCCTGAGAAGAGAGAAGATGATGAGTGATGCAAGTGACATGCTTGCTGCGGCTCTGGAGCAGATGGATGGCATTATAGCAGGTAAATGCTTGGGGCAGTTTGTTTGGTTAGCTGTTTTGGTCCTCCTTTTTCATACCTGGAGGGCAGAGTTTCAGGCTTAGAAGGGAATGTGCTGGTAATTTTGTTTGGTGTCTTCCATCATAGCTTAGTGATTACAAATAAATGGAGTGGAGGGATTGCACAGGCTCTCACACACAAACACAGCTAAACAGATTGTAGTTTTTCTCTTACCCTCTGTCAAAGTGCTGCTCAAAGTGGCTGAGTGATGCAGTTCAGCTGGTGCACACAGCACCATGAAAGCCAAGGACAAGGCACATTTCAAACGAAGATGAGTGTGTTTAAAGAGCTGCTGCAAGGCAGGAAGAGTAAGTTTGCCTAATACTGGCTTCCCTGAAGAGTTAAAACATGAATTGAATTTTCCTTTTTTCAAAATTGGAATGTTTTGGGTCCAAGCATTTGGCTTGGACCTGCCTTTAACATTTAAGTTTTTATAAGTACCTGTAAATTGTAAGTGGACTAAGGAGAGGCATCACAAAGTATACAACCTCTGCTTTTAAATTGAGTCTAGTAAGTTAGAAAGTAATATAAGTGCATAACACAGAGGAGCAAAGCAGCAAGAAATTAATAGTTTAATCCTATTCTAGCAGAGCTATGCAAACAGCTACCCAAACTGAAAAAAAATTCTGCAAGGATAGCAACACAGTTATAAAGTCTTTAATAGTTTGACTTAAAGTAATTTCCCTTAGGGAAAAAAATAACCATACAGTGCGTGCTTTGTTTGGACAATGACTTTTCTCTGCAGTTTTCATAAAGATATTAAGGACACATAGCAGGAACACATGTAAAGTGGATTTAGTTGGATCATAATGATCTCTAAAAATATATATAAGCTGTGACTTTAGTAATTTCCTTAAGTAGATACTGATATTTGGATCCAACCATATATCTGTGTTTCCAAAAGCCTAAGTTGGTTATGGCAGGATGAGGTTTAATATAAAAATAAAATATGATGTTGGGATGTTTAAGTCACCACAGACTTAATTTACCCACGTGTCTGAACAGACTTATAAAGTAATATAACAAAGAGATATCAACTCCTATGCTGTTGTGGAGAATTTTTTCTCTTCATTTTTTTCAAAGGGAATTAGCAGAATACTTGCATTTTTGTGGCTTACCAGATGAGGTGAATGAAAGTTCGTAGAAGTGCATGTATGGCATATCACTGTTGTTTCCAAAAGTTGACAGTACCAAAGCTGATGCTCTGTCATGAACATGTCTCATTGTGCCGAGGCATTACTGTATTAAGATCACAAATCAGTGTGCTGAAATTGTAGTTGGAATTAGCTGGGTTGACTTAAATTAATCTTAATCTTGAATTCGTAGTTTCCTTCCTTCCTGATATATAGCAACTTTTAATGTAGGTCAAATATATGTACTGTGAGTTTATGCAAATAAGAGATTTTTCTCTTCATTAGCATGCAAATGTCAGTGCTACCATGTCAAACTGTTGGGTTTAAAATTTATTCTCATGTAGAAGTGATTCACTCTTATTTATCTTCATATTTTTCTTTATTCTTCTAAAAAAGTTTCCAGTGCCTTGGAGCAGTGTAACATATTTCTGCATGAAAAAAACCATGCAGAGCACAGTTTCCTCTGGAAGCCATCAGTGTCTGACTTGGGTCATGCAATCCCTACAGGGTGACTCAAAGCATTAGCAGAGCCTGTTCCCCCTGCAGTACTTTCCGCCTCTGATACATCCCAGGGAGCAGGAGCCCAGCCCATGCCTTGAACCTGTGGGCACGGTGGTGGCGTATATGTCCTCTGTTGGATCAGCCAACCTCCTTCCTGCTGGAGCTTCCATCCGTATAGCACACCAGCAAGGGCTTGCTCTTCTCCGAATTGCTACGTGACGTGGGCAGAATCCGGCACCAGCGCTGAGTTTGTGTCGGATAAGTGCCCACCAGGAGCAAACGTCGCCTAGCATTTCTCAGCCTTGCTGTGGGTCTGACCTGCTTGCCTTGTGCTTGACCCCGTGTGATTTTGCTCCCTCCAGGTTCGAAGGCGCTGGAGTACTCCAACGGCATCTTTGACTGCCAGTCCCCCACCTCTCCCTTCATGGGGGGCCTGCGGGCTCTGCACCTGGTGGAAGACTTGCGGGGCTTGCTGGAGATGATGGAAGCGGATGAGAGGGAGGGGCTGCGCTGCCAGGTCCCAGACTCGACAGCAGAGGCTCTGATTGAATGGCTCCAAAGTCAAATGGTACAGTCTTGCCTTGTTTCACTCGTAACGCGCTCGTTTTGTCTGTTAGCTAGACCAGCTCAAGCAGTGGGGCTGTGTTTTATGCAGGGCATTGGCATTTAAAAGTTTTAGAGTAGGTTTCAAAGAACCAAAGGGAAGAGATTTTGGTTTGGAGATGATGCCGTGGGGCCTTGGAAAAGCTGTAGCACAAATACCTTGTGCAGTCGGTTGGCCTGTGCTTTTTTTGATGTACCACCATGCCTCATTCTGAGGAACAAAAAATTTTCAGTAATTGGAGTTTCATCTCAGAGGTTTGGGGAAAGACATTTTTATAGGAATCATACACTTAAATGGGGGTTGAAAAGACCTGTTTTCAATATGCACTTTTCACTAAAAAGCATTTTTGGCAGCATATTTTCTACAGGGACCAGTGTTGTTACTGAGCTTCCTTACCTGTTTTATAACAGAAGTGAGTAGTATAAGCTCAGCATCCCTTTAATGTGGAAACCAAACCAAATTTTTATTTTCTGTGTTGGTGACAATCTACCCTTTTTTGTCACCCTTGCTTTAAAAATACGCCAGAATATACCTGACAAGGCTGTTCTTTCCCCAAGACTTGATTTTCCCAAAAAATCAAATATTATTCGAGTGGAGGCTACCTGAAGACTATGCTGGGAACTAAAATGTTGTGCTTATCAGAAGGTGAGTTACATGGCATCATTTTCAAAGGACCCACTGTTTTTACCTCCAGGTGCCCTGTGAGTGGTGACTTCCTAGCAGGGTCAAATAGGAGTCTGTGTGCTCATGGTCTGCGGCAGGGTTTGCGTCGTGGTGGTGTGGGTGTGCACAGGTTTCGGGGAAGCTCCAGCAGTGGAAGTCAAGACTTATTTCCAGAGGGTTTAAGTCGGCCTGTAGCTGTAATAATGACAGAATGACAGCAGCAGTGGGTGTGCACTTCGACAGCAGTGTCGGGGTCCTCCGGTCTGACACACTTGCACTGGCCAAGGTAATGCTGTACTGTTGAAATGGGGATGCCAGATCTGGTGAAGGCTGGGTGCGATGCAGGACAGGCCACCGTGGTGGCTCTGCGTTGCACCCTATGCATTGCTGCTTCTGGGACAGGCAGCCACCGTCGCCTGGTCCCTTCCCAGGACGGGCATCACACCCACTCAGGAGGAGTTCGGTCACCCTGGAGCCACGGCTGATCATGTGTAAAATGTTTTTATCTTGATACACGGGTTTATTTCAGTGCTCAGTTGCAGCCCAGAGTGGTGGGTGCGGGACTGTGCTTGGCCTGTGCTCCCCAGCCGCAGTTTCGGCAGGCGTGGGGCTGCGGCTGGTGCTGGGTGACCTGACGTGCCATCTAGCGGCACACGGGCTGTGCGCAGCGCTGTGGGAAGAGGCGAGGACCTGGGCTAGCGTGGCTGGGCTCACTTGCCTAGCTGTTGCGGAAACGTTTGACGGGAGAGCTTTTTTGGGTTTTTTTTCTCCTTTGCTTTGAACTGTGCATTTGAAAATGCCTGAAACTTAATGAAGCACGTGGGAGCTTTCCCACTGCCTTCAGTGGGATTTGGATCTCGCCCCCGCTGTCAAAGCATGGCAGGCAACGCTGAGATCAGGAGGAGGAGACAGGAGTGACATTCAAGTCAGATCTTTAAAACATGCAGAGTTCCTGCTAACATCAGCATTTCCTTCCTGTGTAATGTACAGCAGTGGACATCGCTCTAACTAGACTGCTCTGTGCGGAGCAGAAATCAAGGGATGTAACAGGTTTCATGCAATATGGACTTCATAAATAAAAAAAATGTTTATATGCCAAATAAACAGCCTTGGAAAATTAACTTGTCCCCATGGTGTGCATAGACATCAGTAGTCCACGCTTAGCAATGCTGATCCACCATGTTATTCTAGAGTAAAGGGATCCAGCAGCATGGCTGGAGGCTGTAGTGTCTGTTGAGATTAATGAGGTGAAGGCCAGTCATTGCCCCTTGTGGCAGCAAATGTGTGACTTAGGGATGCCTGGCTGTTAGGATCTGCAGCAGGGTCCTTCAGACCTGTGTGATGTGGATCACCACATGGCAATGAGACAGTAATAGTTTTCATTGTGGCCGTGGGCTGAATCTGGGAGAGGAAGGGCTCTGTTGTGCCATTCAGCTTGGTGCCTCCTAAGCACTGGAAAAAATACACAGTGGGTTGTTTGTAGAAAAGGTTGCGGAAAACAGCCATTCCACCTATGCTTCTCCTCGGTCTGCCTCAAATTTTTTCCCTGTACACTCTGGCATCCTTAAAGCCCCTAGTAGGAAGGACTGAACATTACACTTTGTACTGTGCTACAAGCATGGCATTTGCAGGTGTCACCAGTCCCTGTCTGAGCAGGAAGGTGTTAGGTGAAGTGCCCGGCTGATTTACAGGAAGGCTTTCTGCACCTATGCCCATCCTTACTGAGGAAGGGAAGACACCTCCTTGGTTTGAAATAGGTTTAATCCTCCGTGCATGAAGAAGTTGCATCCACCGGCCTATTCCAAGCTGCTGGAACTGGTGCGTGACATCCCATCCGAAGCTGTAAGCAAGTCTCTCATGTCTCAGAGGAAAACAAAAATAGTGTTCACTGCTGCCAAACAGCGTGTCACAAGAGAAAAATCCTCTCCTGGCCCCTGCAGGGAAACCGCTGATGCCCTAGTTGGGAAAAGGGTCTGACAATGGTCTCCCAAAGTTGCTCGCTTCTGTAAAACGGGGCAGGGCAATCAATTTTGCCATGCCAGAATTGGCTGCCCCATGTCCCTGTACCACTTCTTAGTGACCACTTCCTTTCTGCTTGTTGTGGTTTAACCCAGCAGGCAGCTAACCACCACACAGCCGTTCACTCGCTCCCCCTGCTCCCCAGTGGGATGAGGGAGAGAATTGGGGGAAAAAAAAAAGTAAAATTTGTGGGTTGAGATAAAGGCAGTTTAATAGGACAGAAAAGGAAGGGAAAATAATAATAATACACAAAGCAAGTGATGCACAATGCAATTGCTCACCACCTGCTGAC